AATAAATAAATATACAGTTATAAATATATGTAAATGTTATATACATATATATCACATTAATATGCTTAGATACAGTTATATACTATGGATGATTTTTGGCGTTAGTTTTTCTTTATTTGTTTTCAATGAACTATTGACCTATAAATAGCAACAATTACTGGAAATCGCCAAGTTCTTTAGCCCGTCATCATCTTGTTGTTCTTATGGTTGTCGAATTGCTTTGGCGGCATTTCCAAATAATTTCAGATTGTTTATTGATGTTTCTTTTTTTTTTTTTATATATATACGCAATGTGAAACTGATGGGATTTGTGGTTTTTCCATTTGTTTAGATTATTGAGCAACGGAGCCATTCGAATCGTTCACGATGCTGCCGCAGCAATATTGCCTGCGCTGGAAGTACCATCATAGCAATCTGCAGACGATGTTCTCGCAGCTGCTGGACCGCGGATGCTTCTGCGATGTGACGCTCGCCTGCGAGGGCCAATTGATAAGGGCCCATCGTGTGGTGCTCTGTGCGTGCAGCACCTTCTTCGACTCGGTGCTGTCGAACTATGCCAGCGAACGTGATCCGATCATCATCATGAAGGATGTCACCTTCGCCGAGGTCAAGTGTCTCATCGAGTTCATGTACAAGGGCGAGATCAATGTGGAGCATGTGAGTCGCGCTCGAGCCACATATAGCCATGGCTATAGCTCTCTGTTTGCAGGCCAGCTTGCCCTCGCTGCTGAAGACCGCTGACGATCTGAAGATCAAGGGCCTCGCCGAGGTTACCTGGCGCGATGACGACGATGGGCCGCCACCTCCGATGCCGGCTGCCGAGTTCCATTCGCCTCCACGCAGTCTGGCTGAGAGCTATGGCCACGATCTGGTAAATCAGCAGGCGGCGCATCTACAACCGCAGCTCTCGCTCGCACACAGCGATCGGGAACGGGAAAGGGAACGTGAACGTGAACGTGACCGTGAACGTGAACGTGAACGCCATTCGCCAGCGGGTCTGGATAATGTCTTGGGTCTGAATGCCGGCACTCGGTTGCCCGATTTGACGCCCCTGCCCAGTGCCAGCGCTGGCTTGGACTGCCCAGCGACCGTCTCGGATCCGTTTCTGGGACCCAAACGCAAACGGGGACGTCCTCCGCTGGATGACACATACGATGTATTCAATGTGTAAGCTTCATTCTTCAAGCATGATTGATTTGATTGACTGAATTTGTATGAATATATAAACCCTATATAACGAGTCTTGGGCAGAGAGTATAGGCAATGTGTGAGTGTCTAACTGACTGAATGACCATATTCAGATTAGGCTAAAGGTTAAAGCTTAAACAGGAGTATATATATAATGTAGGACATCCTATAAATATACATATCTAGTTAGTATGCTGCATAGCTGTCGCTAGGGTCTATTGAATGTGATTGCTCTATCCATCTATCTATCTATCTAGCTATCTATATATTTATCTATCTGTCTATCTATATATCCATCTATCTATCTATATATACACATGCCCAAAATCTACTACTCAGTGTGTGAGCTCTTGTTAGGACTAGTTGACACTCTCTGAGCTATAATCTGAGAAGATATAAAGCTATGTAATATATACATTATAGACAATGTTATTTCAATTCGAAAGGCAGACTGCTCGAGTTGCTTATTTCCACATGTGTTTGTTGATTGTTAGCTCAGCCAGTTGGACTGTTTACAGTTGAATGTTCATGTATCTCCTGCAGCTGGCAAGACATACATATACTTCTATATATATGTACATACATATATCTATATTGCGCTCAAAGTTCATGTGAGCTGAGTGCTCGTCCGATTGTCCGATGATCCGATCTAACTACATACTTGAAATTTGTGAGAGTGAATCTTGTGAGAGTTTTTTGGTTGATTGCGCGCTTTGATTTCGGGATTTTCGGTAACCCATTTTGGTTTTATTTTCTCGGCGTTTCGTTTACCTCTCTGCAGTCGCAAGCTGGCTCAATATGCTGCAAATTTGGAGCCGGCACAGCGCGCATATTTGGAGTCGACGCGTCCCTTTGTTGAGGAAACGTTGCCAGTAGCACATTCCGCCGCATTGGCGTCGCCGCCTGCTGCCTGCCCGCCCAAGCAGCGCCAGCGTCTGCGCCAGCAGCAGCAGCAGCAGCAACAACAGTCGACGCCAGCACAAATGGAGTTGGGGGAGCGCGAATTGGACGCAACACAGGATTGGGCCAAAGAGTCAAGCCCCAAGCTAAGCGATGTGGAGCTAAAGACAGAGCTGGAGCTGAGCAACGATGCGAGCACTATGCAGGCAACAACAACAACAACAGCAGCAGCAGGAGCCGCTGCCACTGCGCCGCTCTCCAGCTCCGTCAAGAAGCTGGGGGAGAAGCCCGTCGAGCGACGCGAGCGTCATGGCAAGCTGCGTCATGCCACGCGTCGGCTTTACGGCGAACATGAAAAGTCCGCCGAGAAGAAGCGCACAACAGCAGCGGCAAGCGAGTCGCCGGCAGTGGATCAGCTGACATCACCCGAGCCGGGTGACCTGCGGGCGAGCGCGGCCGATGTCGATGTCATTGCTGACGGCGACGCCAACGCCGACGCATTGCCAAAGCCCGTCGAGGAGATCGAGAATGAGCATTTGGTGGCAAATCGAGCCGATTCGCCAGCTCTGCTGCCGGCTGGCGGCTTTGGTGGCAAGTACTTGATCAACGATCATGGCATGCTAATGGCCCACGATTTTGCGCCCAATGCGGTGGCCAGCGCCGCAGTTGCGGCCGCTGCGGCAGCGGCAGCTGTTGCTGTTGCCACAGCCAATGGCGGCGGCGGCAGCGGCAGCGGCAACAACAACAACAGCAGCAGCAGCAACAACAACAATGCGTCTGCAAGTGGCGTCGAGCATGCCGGCGACTATGCCGAGGTCAAGCTGGAGGATTACGATGCAGCCGAACTGCGGCTAACCAACGAGGAGCTAACCCAGTGGCAGGATGTCATCAAAATGGATGACTATTTGGCCAAGGGGCGACGTCCACAGTTCTGGGAGGAGCCATTCACCAAGCGCGTGAGTACATCCAACACTTGTCCAGTGGCAGAGCTTATCTAATGTCTCTTACATCTCTTACAGGTACTTGATGCCATCAAAAACAAAAGACTTGAAATGAAGAAGGCGGCTCGCATCTTGGGTGTCTCCTATGGCACGCTCTACGGTCGCTATCGCGAGGTCTACGGCTGTCTGAAGCATCCCTATAGGTATATTATTTTGTATATATAGATTATATACATAGATATGTTATATATATATATATATTTTACTTTTTCCTTATTACGACAGCGGCACCACTTTCCGCAATTCCGTCGCCTCCTCCGCAGGCAGCCAGCTGTCGGTGCAGCCGCGATTCGATCTGAGTTTCCGCAGCAGCAACGTTTTACCCACCCCACTGGGTAAGCATATACAAATATCCATCCATCCACCATCGTATATATTACTAATTATCACATTTTCCACCTTTGCAGAGCTGGGCAAGCTGCGGCAAAAGGATCTCAGTGAGCTCTGGACACGTCCGCAGATATGAAAACCAACGAAGCTGTTGAAAAATCTCAAACGTCGGCCCAGATTGATCTAAACTTAGTGTTAAGCACAATTTCAATAGGCTAATATACTTATGGTCTATATACCCACAACACAAACAAACAAAAAAACATTCAACAAAAAGACAGTTAAGTTAAGCGTGAGGCTAGTTTAAGATAATCGAAAGGAAAAAAAAAAATATGAAGAAAATATTTTAAGATTTCCTCATCATTTTCTGCATGTTATAAAACTGTTTGAATATATATAAATATATATAAA